GTTTGGAGACTTTGGGTTGAAAGCTTCGTGTGAAGGGATTACTTAGAAGCTCTTTTGACTTAGCATCCCCTATAGAACCCCTGCTAGAATCCCCGCAACCCACCTTACTAACCCAACTTGCTAAGTCAAAGGGGCTTCCCAATAGGGATAGGGTGCCTTTGATTTGGGATTTGAGGGTTCGGGGCTTGGGGCACGTGCTAGTGATGCTGAGAGGGGCGGGGGGTGAGGAGGCCGCCTTCCCTTCGCATCCTCCTCCTACCCAAGCATGAAATCCTATATCCATGGGTAGTCACAAGTAGGGTTACAAGCAGGGCGACTATAATTGCAACCTGAACCCTGAACCCCAAAACCCCAAAACCCCAAAACCCCAAAACCCTAAACCCTAAACCCTAAACCCTAAACCCCATGCCCTATACCCTAACCTTGCGTCTCATAACCCGACATGCCACTACCCCCCAAAGGGGGCCGAGAGTTTAGGCCTCAGGGCGAAACCAGCCAAGTGTGTCCGGAAGATGTAGTATTGCTTATGGAAGTAGGGTTTAGGGTTTAGGGTTTCGGGTTTAGGGTTTCGGGTTTAGGGTTTAGGGTTTAGGATTTAGGGTTTAGGGTTGCCTCAACCCTCAACCCTGAAACGCAAAAACCCTGCTTAGCATGGTCTCCGGGCACCGAACTCCCTGATGGCACTGCAGATTGATCCCCAAACACTCAATCCTCTCGGCACGTGTCAGGGTTTAGGGCTAGGGTTTAGGGTGTAGGGCTGAGGGTTTAGGGTTTTAGGGTTTAAGGCTGGTTTAGGGTTGAGGGCTTAGGGTTTCGGGTTTAGGGCTTAGGGTCCTGAGGGACTGACGGTTGAGAGCACCTCTTGCTCCGTTGGGCCGTGCGGTGCAGCCAGCGAGGCAGAGTAGCCTCCAGGGGGCTTCGGGTGCACAAGGGTTTAGGGTCTAGGGTCTAGGGGTTAGGGGTTAGGGGAACCCTAAAACCGATATCCCTTAACAGCATCAGGGCCTCAAAGGCCCGACTACGACCACCACAAAGAGTCCCAAACCCTTTAGACCCTAAACGCTGAAACACCCTGGACCCCAAACCCCCCAAACCTAGAACCCCCGAACCTTAAATCGCGACCCCAGACCCTGAAGCCCAAGCCCTATGTACCTGCGTGTCGCACAGAGCTGCCGCAGATGGAGGCCAGGTAGGGCTCCTTCTCTTTGGCCTCGGGGTTTAGGATTTCGGGTTTAGGGTTTAGGGTTTGGGTTTAGGGTTTAGGGTCTAGAGGTCGCTTTGCAGCTTAAAGGTGTTCGGGTTTAGGGTCTAAGGGAGTGGCGTTTCAGGGCCTGGGGGTTTCGAACCCGCGGTGTCTTCTCATGTTCGTAGCAGGATGCCCAGGATGCCCTGGCCTGCTGGAGTGTGAAGACATGTGCTGGGAGTTTCGGTGCAGAAGCTACTATTTGTTTAAGAACCCCCCCCCCCCAAAAAAAAAAAAAGTCTTCCTTTTAAGGGTAATATAGGGGTTTTTATCTTTGATTTGTGGGGATTCTTAAGCAAACAGTAGTAAGGGATGTGATTGAATAGGCTGGAGGCTTATGGGGTCGGGTTCCAGTTCTTGCCCATCGACCCCAGGCCAACCCAACAGTTTCCGCGAGGGCTTGGGGTCAGGCATTTGCCAGATCCCCATATCGTTTTGGAGGGGGAAGAGGGGTGCTCATCACCTAAAGCCTCAGCCTTAAACGCTGACATCAACGTTTTGGGGACTGTAAGGTGTGGGGTAGGGTTGGGGGGGCTTGGCATTATGGAACTTGCGTTCCTCGAGCCAGCAGGAAAGTCGCGCTGAATCCTCAAAGCCACGACGTCGCACAGGACCGCTCGGCTTGGCCCAAACCCTAAACCCTAAACCCTAAACCCTAAACCCTAAACCCTAAACCCTAAACCCTAAACCCTAAACCCTAAACCGCCAACTATCGGTGGCATCTTCTCGCTCCTCGTGCCGTCCCTTTGGAGAACACCGGCGAAAACACCCAAATCCCTAAATCCCTAAAGCACATGACCCCCCTTTCACCTCTATAGAAAACCCTAAACCCTCCCTATAAGATAAGCCTTAATTAACCCCAACCACAACCCAAAGCCCCCGAACCTCTGCACCACGAATCCCCCACACCGTACACACTACAGCTACACCACAAAATCCCCCAAACCACTAACCCTAAACCCTATAGCTACACCACAAAATCCCCCAAACCAAAAGACCCTGAACCCTATAGCTACACAACCCTAAACCCTAAACCCTAAACCCTTAACCCTAAACCCTAAACCCCCATCGAAGCTGGGAGGCCACCAGCTTCCCGTCGACGTTCTCCGTCAGCCTGAGCGGCTTCGCCGCTTCTTTGGGTTCAGGGTTTGGGGTTTAGGGTTTGGGGGTTTAGGGTTTGGGGTGTGGGGTTTGGGGTTCGGGGTTTGGGGTTTACGGTTTAAGGTTTCGGGTTTACAAGGTGTAGGGTTGAGGTTTCAGCTTAGGCCGCCCCCCTCCCCAACCAAAAAACAGAAACACAGCAAGCCCCAAACCCTTTGAACCGTTCCCATGAAACCAACCAAGGCCCAAACCTGATGACCCCAAGCCCCCTCAACGCACCTTACATACCCCCATATATTGCCTTGTGTCTTACAAAAACAAACCCTAATCTGTTATTTGCTTAACTTAAGAGCCCCCCAAAATAAGAACTAAGAAACCCGATATCATCCTTGTAAGGAAGAGTTGTTTTTTTCAAAGGGGTTCTTCAGCAGATAGTAGGAATTCCGAAGGACAGGGTAGCTTTAGTTAGGGTGCTTAAGGTTCACGGGTATAGGTTTCGGGTTTAGGATTTAGGGTTTAGGGTTGAGGGTTTATCACAATGGTTTCGGTTTGAGGGGCTTAGGTGGTTTCAGAAGTCTATGGCAAGGAAGCCTGAACCCACCAAGACCCCCTCAAATCAAGGGCCATGGGCTCTCTGGGAAAGCGGAAGGCCACACCAGGGTTTAAGGGTTTAAGGGTTTAAGGGCTTAGGGTTTAGGGTTTAGGGTTTAGGGTTTAGGGGTTAGGGTTTCGGAAGCTTAGAACCCCGAAGGCCCAGAGCCCATGTCGCAGCACAGGGGCGTCTTGATGAGGAGGTTTACCTTTCAAGGGAGGCCCCAGGGGGTTGAACGCGAAAGGGTTTTGGGTTTAAGTTTTTCGGATTTGGGGCTTTGAGAGTTTAGGGTTCAGGGTTTAGGGAGGGATGTAGGATCTAGCGTAGTAAGGATTTAGGGTTGCAAAGGTGTTCGGGGTTTGGGGTCGTAGGTCTTGGGGTCGGAAAGTTTAAGGGGTTTGGGGGTCTTACGGTTAGGGCGTTTAGGGTCTTAGCTTGAGGGTAGCAGGGTTGGAGACCCCGCCCGAAAGCCTCAACCCTCGGAATAACGGGTTAGGGTTCAGGGTTTAGGGTTTAAGGGCCTCTTTGGCCGACACGAGGCTGTGCACTAGGTTGTGCAGCGAATGCACGATAATGGAGACGCCACAAGGGGCGCCCCACTAAACCCTCAACCCCCAAAACTTGAGCCCTAAGTCCTAAGCCCTAAGCGCTCTAAACCCGAAGCCCGAAGCCCTAAGCCCTAAGCCCTAAGCCCTAAACCCTAAACCCTAAACCCTAAACCCTAAACCCTAAACCCTAAACCCTAAACCCTAAACCCTAAACCCTAAACCCTAAACCCTAAACCCTACGCCTAAACCCTACACCCTAAACCGTAATCCCCAGTTAGGGCTCAGGGCTCAGCGGTTCCAGGAAGGGCTCAGGGCTCAGTGGTTCGGGGCCGAATAGGGTTTAGGGTTTAGGGTTTAGGGTTTTGGGTTTTGGGTTTTGGGTTTAGGGTTTAGGGTCAAACTAAACCCTGAGGCTCTACCCCTTGAACCTCAAATACAAGTCCACCAATCCGAAACCTTCAATTCTGAAACCCTAAACTCAAATCCTGAGCCCTAAACCTTAGATGGCTAAATCCCCCCTAAACCCTAAATCCTAAACCCTAAACCCTAGCCCTAAACCCTAAACCCTTAAACCCTAAACCCTAATTTTCCCGGGGCGCAGAGGCATCTCCATGCACCCAGCCGTCGGCCGCAGCATCGAAGGCCTGTGGTTCGAGGCTCGGTTAGGGGGTTCGGGGGCTAGGGGGCTAGGGGGTTAGGGTGTTAGGGGGTTAGGGGTGGGGGGGTGGGGTTTAGGGTTTAGTTTCAGGGTTCAGGGCTGCAGGGCTTAGGCCTAGGTTCTTATAGGGTGTGGGGGGAGGGGGGGGGGAAGGGGTAGGGGGGTAGGGGGGGCGGGGGGGGCGGGGGGGGGGGGGCGGGCGGGCGCGGGGGGCGGGGGGGCGGGGGGGGGGCGGGGGGGGGGGGGGCGGGGGGGGGGGGTGGGGACACGGGCGCAGGGGTGGGGGGGGGGTTTACGAAAAGAGGGGACCCCAAAATAGACCCCCAAATAGTAAGATTCCCTTATAATAAGGACCCCAATAAGTTACCCCTAATTTCGGGAACCTTTTAGGGCTTGGTTGCTTCTGTGGGTGTGGTTCAGGAAATCTGGCTTTAGTGCTGCAAGGGTTTCTGTCTGCAGTTGCCGCACGCTACTGATGCCTTGCAGATGCTTGACGGACGAACCGTCGCGAGTCTTGTTGGTTCTGGGTCAGCCTTCTGGTCTCTTGGGGCTGTGGTTGAGGGTTTAGGGTTTAGGGTTTAGGGTTTAGGGTTTAGGGTTTAGGGTTTAGGGTTAGTTTTAAAGATTTCGCCCAGTCAAAGGCCCAGCAGCATCCGAAAACTAGGGGTTGCGGCCCCTTCCCAACCAACCGTCGGGATTAAACCCAAACCCTAAACCCCCTAGGGCTTCATATTGCAAAACCCAACACCCCAAACCCTAAACCCTAAACCCTAGACCCTAAACCCTACACCCTAAACCCTTAACCCTTAACCCTAAACCCTGACCCTAAACCCTCAACCTGAAACCCTAACTTCCTGCCTGGCATCTGCCGACCTTGGACAGCCAGCCTGGGCAACTTCGATACAATGAGCGCCTTAAGGGTTCGGGAGTGTTTCTCGGGTTTAGGGTTTAGGGTTTAGGATTTAGGATTTAGGGTAGGGTTTTGGCTTTAGGCATTAGGCTTTAGGGTTTGGGGTTTAGAGTTTAGAGTTTAGAGTTTCGAGTTTCGAGTTTCGAGTTTAGAGTTTAGAGTTTAGAGTTTAGAGTTTAGAGTTTAGAGTTTAGAGTTTAGAGTTTAGGGTTCCAGAAGGCCAAAGTCCTGTGAAACCCAGAACACGCAGTTGTTTCTAGCTTTGCGTGCTATAAGTTTACGACTCAGCGTTAAGAATGTGCTTTGGCACGTCTGACATTGCCTGCTTAGTTCAGCATTCTCGTTTTGAATCGAACCGGGGTGGGGGGGTGGGGGGGTGGGGTTGTGGGTTGTGGGTTGAGTAAACCCTAGACCCTAAACCCTAAACCCTGAACCCTGAACCCTAAACCCGTGGGGTGTGAGTTGAGCTGTGCACATAAAGGCCGGTGCAACATTGCAAGGGGTGCCAAGGGCAAAAGAAGGGGCTGTGTGGGTTCTGGACTTAGGGTTTCGGGTTTAGGGTTTAGGGCTTAGGGTTTAGGGTTCAGGGTTTAGGGTTATCTGGAGTCCCCCTTGAAAATCCATTCACGTGGTCCCCTAACCCGATCCCCTAAGCCATAGAACCCTCACCACCACCCGAGACCCTCAAGCCGAAAACCCTCAACCCCAAAACCCGAAGCCCGAACCCTAGAACCCTATGCACCGTCAAGCCCTTTAAACCCTATAAACCCCATAAACCCTATAGCGCCTATAAGCTACATTTGCCTGATAAAGCCCTACAAAACCCTAAAACCCGATAACACCCTCCGAAAGCCTGTAAAAAACTAAACCCTAGGCCCTAGACCTGAACCCTAAACCCTAAACCCTAAACCCTAAACCCTAAACCCTAAACCCTACACCCTAAACCCTAAACCCTAAACCCTAAACCCTAAACCTGAACCCTCATCTCTAAACCCTACACATGAAAGGGCTTCTGAAGGGACTTCCTGCCTGCAGCCTGTCGCTGCGGCCAGTAGAAGGCTGACAGGTTGAGCCTTTTAGGGCTCGGGCTTTTAGGGTTTAGGGTTTAGGGTTTAGGGTTTAGGGTTTAAGGTTTAGGGTTTAGGGTTTAGGGTTTAGGGTTCAGGGTTTAGGGTTTAGGGTTTAGGGCTTGAAAATTTCAGGCTGTGGGGTTTTAGAAGTTTCGGCTTTCAGGTGATGGGCTCGTCTGAGGTTGAGCACTTTACTGAAAATGTTGGGGCTGAGGGGAACTATAAGGCGGGGGGGGGGGGGGCGGCTGGTAGGGCTTCTTGGGCCTTCTTGCGGGCTTTAGGGGTGCTACCCGGCCATCCATGAAAGTTGTGGATAGACGGTTTTAGGGCTTTCGGGCTCTCAGGTTTTGGGGGCTTACATTAGGGCAGGGCTGTCGGGTTTTAGAAGTAACCCGATCCTCATAACAAACAGGGCCGATACAGTTGAGAGTTGAATCTACTTGGAGGTTCATGGGTAGTTATAATTGGGGTTATAAGTACCCTAAGTAAGGTTATAAGTATAGTTACCCTACTTATAACCCTATTTATAACTACCCATGAACCTTCAAGCACTTGGAGGTTCATGGGTTGCCAGCAGCGGATTCTCCAAGTTGGGCAACTATTTGTAATTCGCTGAAGCCTCATGTAGGGTACTTCTCTACCTGCGTATAGCACCCATGCAACCTTGCAACAAGCAGATCCTGTAGACTAACTAATTCTGGTGTATTGGACTCGCCAGAAATCTCTGAATCCTAAACCACGAAACACTACCACTAGAAAAAAACAATGAGCCAACCTAAACCCCTGAAAGCCCCAACCCGCAACAAACTTCAAAACAAAAAACTCAACTCCTAAGAACAAAATTGATAAAACATCCCCTTAAACAAACTCTCAACCCCCCAAAAAAGACTCTCCCCCCCCCCCCCCCCCTAAAAAAAGAAAAACTCAACCCCCCAGAAAGACCCTAAACACCCAAAAACTCCTCAACCCCCCAAAAAACCCTAAACCCTAAGCCCTAAGCCCTAAGCCCTAAACCCTAAACCCTAAACCCTAAACCCTAAACCCTAAACCCTAAACCCTAAACCCTAAACCAAAACCCTGAACCCTAAATCCTGGGCCCCGCGGCTTGATCCCGCCGCAGAGCGAGAACTCGTTGGCCAAGGCCCGGCCCTTGCTGTGGAGCGCTTCACCTTCACTCTTTCATGGAAGCCGACAGGAGGTCAGGGTTCCAGGTTTCTAAACCCTAAACCCTAAACCCTAAACCCTAAACCCTAAACCCTAAACCCTGCAGGGTCTTCGAAGGCTTTGGGGGTCCGGCCGCCGGGGTTCCCCCGCGACCTCTGAGTTAGAGCCGAAAAAGCGGGGTTGTCTAAGGGGTTTAGGGATTTAGGTTGGGATGTTCCCCCCTGATGACTAACAGTCCTTAATAGGGATCATCATAGGGGTTACGATACTCCCTGTTAAGAACTGATAATATAAGGATGAACACCCCAAGATTTAGGGTATTAGGGTTATGAGCCTCGGGCCTAGTGGGGCTTAGGGCTTAGGTTGGTGGGGTTTCAGTGGCAGAGCCTCCTCCGAAAAAAAAGAGAGCAAAAGCTGTGGAAGTGCGTGGGGCGAGGATTCCTGCTGGCTCCGAGGTGTGGAGTCTTAGGTTGGGATGTTCCCCCTTACACTCACCGTCCTTGATAGGGATAGTATTAGGGGATACGATCATCCCTATTCAGGACTGCTAGTAAAGGGAACATCCCGAGTCTTAGGTTTCTTGGGCAGGATGTTGGGAGGGTAACAACACCCAAACCCACCGAACAAAGATATCCTAAGCCCCCTAAAGCCTTCTAAACCCTACCCACCCGCCAACCCCTGCACCCCCCCCCCCCTCCAAAAAAGAAAAAGAACACATATATATATATATATATATAATGATAATAACAATAATGATAATAAGTAAGTAAAACACAAATAAAACGAAAACGTCCGGAGCCCCTGGAAATCCTAGAAACCCCTAGAAGCTGAACCTGAAAGCCTGAGGCTAGAACAGCCCATATGCACAGAGAGCAGAGCTGATGCATCCTTGCAGGCGGGCGAGCTCGCCAAAACAACGCTGGGTTTTTTGGGGGGTTTAAGGATTAGGCGTTTGGGCTGAAGTTTAAGGTTTAGGGCTTAGGTTTAAGGCTCAGGCACCCCGGGTAGGACGTCCCTGGCCCGTCTTGTTGGGGCACCCTCCCTGACAAGTGGCCATAGGCTACAGAACTGAGCCAATCGACCTAAGGTTAAGGGTTCGCGGTTTTGGGGTTTGAAGGTCTTGGGTAAGCAAGTACCCTAAACCCTAAACCGAAACCCTAAACCCTAAAAACTATAAAAACCCGAAACCCAAGCTGATGCAGAAGCACAAACACCAATACTTCTCAACCCAGCTGGGCCCTGCTTCGGGTTCTCAAGCAACCTTAAACAGGGGACAGCCTGTTCCTGCCTTTAGCAACGGGTTGGGGTTGAGGGTTGACGGTTTAGGGTTTAGGGTTTAGGGTTTAGGGTTTAAGGTTTAGGGTTTAGGGGTCTATAGAGAAAAACACGAAACCTAGAAGAGGAAAAGGGAGCACCAAGGGCACCACAACACACAAGAGGCGTGTAATGAAATGGACCCAACCCGACCGAAAAGAAAAGGAAAACAGAAGCAACCCCTAAGTCCTAGACCCTAAACCCTCAACCCTCAACCCTCAACCCTAAACCCTAAACTCTAAACCCTAAACCCTAAACCCTACACCCCAAACCCCAAACCCTAAACCCTAAACCCTAAACCCTAGCGCGCGCAAACTCAGACGCAGCTCCTCCGCGTCGACGGCGATGCTGGGGCCCTTCATGCCCAGGACGAAGCTAAACCTACCGAGCTTTCTTGGAGGGTTTGAAGGTTTAGGGCTTAGGGTTTGGGGTTTAGGGTTTAGGGTTTAGAGTTTAGGGTTTGGGGTTTAGGGTTTAGGGTTTAGGGTTTGCGGCTTAGGGTTTAGGGTTTAGGGTTAGGAAAATACCCTAAATGAGGTTGATACGATAATTGTCCTACTTATAACCCTACGCATAAGGGGAACCCCTGAATTTACAAGCGTCCAAAGTAAGTACCCCCGGAAGCCTTTCCCTAAACCCCAAACCCAAAACCCTGAACCCTGAACCCTTAACCTTAACTCCAGACTTCTCGACCCCCTGAGCTGTGAAGGTTGACCTCTCCGAAACAATTGCGCGCTCCGTGCACGGCTGTGAACCCATCAGCCTTGCAAGATCTGCTGTGCGTCTATACCCATCTGCCCCCTTCCCCCCCCCCCACCTCCCCAGCCCCCTCCCCCCAACAAAAAGTCAAACCGTAAGCTCCCCTGAACCCCTGAGCCAAAGAGCCCTAAATCCCCTGCACCCCTAAACCAAACCCAAAAATGGAACAATGGAACCCGGAACCCTAAACCCCAAACCCTAAACTCCGAACCCTAAACCCGAAACCCTAAACCCTAAACCCTAAACCCGAGTCCGGGGGGCCGGTTCGCTGTGATCGCCGCGGAGCCGCCGGTGGCGCCAAAGGAGCCCTGTTTAGGGTTTAGGGTTTAGGGTTTCGGGTTTAGCGTTTCGGTTTTAGGGTTTAGGGTTTAGGGTTTAGGGTTTAGGGTTTAGGGTTTAGGGTTTGGGGTTTGGGGTTAGGGTTTAGGGTTTAGGGTTCAGGATATAGGGTTTAGGGTTGAGGGCTCAGAGTTCAGGGTTTTAAAGTTCAGGGTTTGGGATTTCTGGGTTAGGGCTCACCTAGACCCAGGAGTAACCTGCGAATAGAAACGGGGGAACCTCAACCCTACAAGGGTTCAGGGTTTTGGGTTCAGGGTACAGGGTTTAAGAACTGGGGGTTTTGCATTAAGTTGAGAATTTGGGGCTGTTGGGGTTTAGGGTTTTGGAGTCAAGGGGTTCCGGGTTAGATTTTAGGGCTTACGAGTTCAGAGTTTAGGGGCTGGAAAATTTGGGGTTTAGAGATCAGGGTTCTACCCTCAACATCAACCCGCAACCTCTCAACCTCTAAACCCTAAACTTTAGGCCCTAGCCCCTCAAACCCGAAACCTTGAGCCAGGAGTCAGGGCTCGGCTCGATACAAAACCCTTGAACCCCTCGGCCCTAAACTCCTGAAACCTTTAACCTCAAATCCCAAACCCCAAACCCCTAAACCCCAAACCCCAAAACCCTAAACCCTAAACACCAAAACCCTAAACCCAAAACTTCAAAACCCTCCTCCGCGGCGCCATCCGAGGTACGCTCGACGTGGCCTTCGCGCAGGGGCGTAGGGAGAGGGGGGGGGGTCTCGGCCTCGAAGAAGCCTTAGAGGGTTGAGGTTTAGGATTTAGGGTTTAGGGTTTAGGGTTTCGGGTTTAGGGTTTAGGGTTTACGGGTTTAAGGTTCTTAGGGATGAAGGTGCTTCGACTGGTCTTGCCGCGCCATTGCTTGCTGTCAAGACATGCAAAGGCCCCGAATACACCAAGAATGCACCAAAGCTAGCTAACATGGAAACCTCAAATTGAGCGCGCTTTCTTCCCCCCCCCCACCCCAAAAAAAAGAAAATAAAAGCAGAATCCCCTAGTTCAGGGTTCAGGCTTTCAGGCTTTCAGGCTTTCAGGGTTCAGGGCTTAGGGTTTAGGGTTTGGACATCGCGCTTCACGCAGGCGTCAAGGGCTTCGAAGGGCGGGTTGAGTGCTTTCGGGCTCCAGGCCTAGGGCTTTTGCCCCTGAAGCATGCGCTGGCCCCTGAAATCCTTTGTAGGATGTGTTCCTTCCCTAAAACCTAAACCCTACACCCTCAGGCTCCTCTTGAACCCAAGGGCCCTCCAAGCAACAAACTTCCAATTCTGAAAAGCCCTAAACCCTAACCCTAAAACCCTACAGCAGCAAACACCAGAAAACCCTGAAACCCTGAAAACCCTGAAACCCTGAAACCCTGAAAACCCTGAAACCCTGAAACCCTGAAAACCCTGAAAACCCTGAAAACCCTGAAAACCCTGAAACCCTGAAAACCCTGAAACCCTGAAACCCTGAAAACCCTGAAAACCCTGAAAACCCTGAAAACCCTGAAAACCCTACTAAGCTTCAGCTGGAGGTGCCGAAGTCCGAGTTCCCGGTTCCGTAGCCCAGGTACCTCATGCTTCGGGTGAGGGGTCTCGGGTTTAGGGTTTAGGGTTTAGGGTTTAGGGTTTAGGGTTTAGGGTTTAGGGTTTAGGGTTTGGGGTTTAAGGCTTAGGGTTTAGGGTATTGTAGGGTTTAGGGTTAGGGCTTAGGGTTTCGGGTTTCGGGTTTGATTAGGGCATCTTCGAAGCGCCGATTCTCTAACGGACCCCCCTCCCCCCTCCCACCCCCCAATACCCTAAACCCTAAACCCTAAACCCTAAACCCTAATTAAACCCTAAACCCTAAGCCTTCAACCCGGGCGCATGCCCCCGAGCGAGTTCATGATCTTGCCCTTCTTGTAGCCGCCGGAGAAGAGGGCCTCGTAGCCTCGAGCTGCGAACCCGGGGAGGGGTTTTAAGGGGGGTTAGGGTTTAGGGTTAGGGGTTTAGGGTTTAGGGGTTTAGGGGTTGAGGGGTTGAGGGGTTGAGGGGTTGAGGGGTTTAGGGGTTTAGGGGTTTCGGGGTTTCAGGGTTTAGGGGTTTAGCTGTTTACGGTGTAGGGGTTCCCGGGTTCAAGAAATGTACCACCAGCTGACGGGCTCAGGGGTCAGGATTTAGGGTTTTGGGGTTTCGGCATACTGAAACCCTAGACAGAGAGCCGATTTTGGGGGACGACCTTGCCTGGGCCTCTATCACTTCACTTCACACTTGAACCTTGCAAAGGCCGGAAGCTTTAGGGGTTAAGACTCGTACCCCTAAGGTTGTACCCCTAAAGGGTGCCCCTAATAGCCTCCGAGTATGGCCCTTATACTACCTCAAGGATCTTTAAAGAAGGCCTCCAAAACAAAAGGGCGCAACCTTAAGGGTCCAAGGTACAACCCCTAGAAAGCACGACGCACCGGAACCCTAACCCCCCTTGAGCCTGGAACCCGAAAACCCCTCGCACCCTGCAAAACCTACACCCTAAACCCCAAACTCCGCAACAAACAAACATACTGGGAGGTTCATGGGTAGATACAAGTAGGGTTATAAGTGCCCTCAGTAAGGTTTTGTATTTCCTCTACCCATAAGCCTACTTCTAGCTACCCAAATGAACCTTCAAGTAAGCCCTTACCCCTCTCTCTCAACCCCTCAACCTTCAACCTTGACCCCCACGTCAAGGCCCTAAGCCCTAAGCCCTAAGCCCTAAGCCCTAAACCCTAAACCCTAAACCCTAAACCCAACTCCAAGCCCACCAGAGCCTGAGCCCCGAAAAAAAAAAAAAATCTTCAGGCTTTGGGGACTTGACGAGGGCACTCTCTGGTCTCGGGTCCAGGGACTATGCGGGCTTTTTTTAATTCTCAAGCTGTGGCGTCGGGGTTGAGTGTGTAGGAATTGCAGGGTTTAGGGCTTAGGGTTTAGGGTTTAGGGTATAGGGTTTAGGGTTTAGGGCATAGGGTTTAGGGCTTTGAGTTTAGGGAGTCTTTCTTGAATAATCTTCAGTGCTAGGCACCGACTTCCAGCACTACCCGCTGCTGCGGGTCCATGATCTTTGACTCCGCGGGCGTGATCGAAAACCTGTTTGGAGCTACTTTTTTTAGGCGTTAGGGTCTAGGGTTTAGGGTTTAGGGTTTAGGGTTTAGGGTTTAGGGTTTAGGGTTTAGGGTTTAGGGTTTAGGGTCTGGGTTTTAGGGTTTAGGGGCCATGGTTATCGGAGCAGGATTAACAGGTACGCAGCACCCTAGCAGCACCCTAATCCAAAAACCTCTTTGGGGCAATGGCACAGTATGTATCAACCACCTCAACTAGATCCCAGAACAACCTAAGAATAACAAAACCTACCCTGTCTTACATTTCAAGGAGGTTGACAAAGGAACCGAAGCCCTGTTTCAAAAACAACGAAACGGGAATAAGGGCACCACCACCCTAAAACCTTAAACCCTAAACCCAGAAGATTTAGTAGTTCAAAGCCCCAGAGCCTTTCCCAGAAATAGGGGTACTTTTCCGGAATTCCCATCATGAGGATTAGTATTTTGGAGTGCATGCAGAGGACCTCTGCGGTTGGGGGAACTTGGATGAAACCTTAGACCAGAAACCTCGGGAGCCCATTGTATATATATATATGTGTATGCATATATCCGTAGGGGAAAGTTTTGGGTTCAGGGTGTATACATATGAATGTAACCAAAAAGCGCACACACACACACACACACACACACACATATATATATATATATATATATATATATATGCAACATTACATAATTTTTGTATAATATAAATATAAATATATATATATACACACATATATATATATGTGAATATATATATATATATGTTTAGAATACATAGAAACCCTAAACCCTTCAAGATCCTGAAGCCCCCAAGAGCTGCCCGTTCCAGACCCGGATTCAACGGGTCGGGCTTCTGGGCTTCAGGGATTAGGGTTTAGGGTCTAGGGTTTAGGGTTTCGGGTTTGGGGTTTCGGGACCTAATTAAAACCCTAAACGCCACCCCGCGCAAACCCCGTCTAGAGCCCCGAAAGACCCTAAGTGGGCAACGTCTGGGGTTTGCGGGCTTTGGGGTTTTGGGAGCTTTGGGGAGTCTAGGCTTGGCAAACTGAGGGGTTCATGGGAGCCAACCGAAACTGCACACATAAGATCTGTTCTAAACTGTGTTGGCAATGAAAAACGTTTGAAAAAGATTCGTATACGGGGCCCCTGAAAAGCTCAAACAAAGAAAATGCCGAGAAATATCCCAAAGGCCAACCTTCAAGGGATACGTACCATAGAGGTGTTCTATATGGGAATAAGGCTAAGGGTCCCCTTCCAAGGGTCCCCTTCCAAGGGTCCCCTTACCAGGGTTCCCTCCTAAAGCCCCTAAAACCTGGTAAGATTCACAAAACCCTACTGAGAGGGTTTGCAGACGGACTCGGACTCTGCAGGCTCCGGGCCGACTTACACCCTAACACCCTTAAACCTGAAAATTTTGAGCCCGGGTTTTAGGGTTTGGGGTTGAGGGTGTAGGGTTTAGGGCTTAGGGTGTGGGTTTAGGGTTTAGTTAGGGTTTAGGGTTTGCTGCAATAGGGCGTAGATGCTGTGAAGGTTAGGATGCAGCAGAGGCTCGAATGCCTCGTCAGGTGCGAAGAGCAGCTCTGGCCCGATTGTGGAGGGCCATCTAATGCTTTTCTCCCACCCCACGCCGTCCGAGGCGGCAAAACCACCCAAACCTATTCCTTTTAGGGCTTAGGCCTAAACTCATGACAATCGCTTACTTTCAAAACACCTTTCCGTCTCCGATGGCGACTTTCAGCCAAGGGAAAGGTTTGAGGCCAGGTCCCGGCTCGTTTGTAGCACGGGTTTCTAGGTTAGGAGAGGTTTTAGGCAGCGCCAGGAAAGGACCGGCGAGGCGGGCCAGAGGGGGGGCCAGGGGGGGCGGGCCAGGGGGTGACTTTAATAAGGGACCAGTACTGGTCTCGAGGAGAACGTGCTCCGGTACCGGACCCATCGTGGGTGCTACCGACCTGTTGGAGGCGGGCGAACGAGCTGGGTCGGCTTGCGCCATCGGGGTCGAGGGGCTTAGGCACCGCCCCCCAACTGTAGAGGGGCGGCCTAGGCCTTGAGTTTAGGGTTTAGGGTCTAGGGTCTAAGATTTAGGGTTTAGGGTTCAGGGTTTGCGGCCGATGGCATGGCTGCTCTGTGGGTCCCCGACATCTTGTTGTCGAAGAGGTCCACGCCATCAACGAAGGACATGTGCCTGCGGCAGGGCTGCCCAAAAACTAGAAAGAAGGGTTGAGGGTTTAGTGGTTTAGGGTTTAGGGGTTGAAGTAAGGAAGATTTGGTCATGCCAGCCTGTAAACAGAACCATGGGGTTACCCAACAAATTGCTGCGCGTGCAGAATAGGAACCATGAAAAGCGTGCCATACTTGATGGTAGTCAGACGGCCCCACATTTTGGTGTCGGTCCTCTTATTAGGCTCCCTCTTCGAACAGGAACATCGAAGGGCCGAAGAAGGGGTGGTGATTCGAGTAGCCTGAACCCTGAACCCCCAAACCCTAAACCCTCAACCATAAAACTCTAAACCCCAAACCCTAAACCCTAAACCCTCAACCCTAAACCCGAAACCCTACACCCTAAACCCTAAACCCTACTGAAGGCAGCGCTGGCCCAGTGGAACTTCCGCCCTCTCAGGGTGCGCGGCCTGGAAAAAGTTTTGTACAATCGCCAACCGTTGTCGTCGGGATCGAAGAACTTCTCGTGGTCCCACCTGGATGTGGGCTTCTTCTAGGGTTTAGAGTTGAGGGTTTAGGGCTTAATTCGGGTTTAGGGTTTTAAGGTTTAGGGTTTAGGGTTTAGGGTCTAGGGCTACTTGAAGGTTCACGGGTAGTTAGAAGTAGGGTTACAAGTGCCCTAACCTAAACAAGCTTACAAGTACACCTAGCCTACTTGTAACCCTTATCACTACCCGGGCAACCTCCAAGTAGGGTTTAGCGTCCAGGGTTTATCCCAAGCGATGTTTGGGGTTTCGGGTTTAGGGTTTAGGGTTTAGGGTCTAGGGTCTAGGGTGAAGGGTCTAGGGTCTAGGGTCTAGGGTTTAGGGTTTAGGGTTTAGGGTTTAGGGCTTAGGGCTTAGGGTTTAGGGTTTAGGATTTAGGGTTTAGGGTTTAGGGTTAGGGTTTAGGGTTTAGGGTTTAGGATTTGGGGTTTGGGGTTTAGGGTTAGGGTTTAGGGTTTAGGGTTTAGGGTTCAGGGTTCAGGGTTCAGGGTTTAGGGGGGTTTGGGATTTGGGGTGGTTGCCATGGGATCCTCTTGGCAATGCTAGAAGGAAGTCTCTGCTAAACAAAGGGGCCACGGTAAGCGTGGGGCTGTGATGCTTACTGCTGGGTTTAGGTTTTATGGGTTGGGAGTTTAGGGTTGTCTTGCGTGCGAGCCTAATTTTCTTCAGGCTTGCAGTTTTGGAAATTTAGGCTAGATGTTGACAAGGGATCTCATCCAAAACCCTAAACCCTAAACCCTATCAACCCTAAACCCTAAACCTCAAGTCGAGCATGGACCCTGTAAAACCCCAGAAACCCTGTACACCCTGCAGACACGAGTTGCTGTTCCCTATAAACCCCTACAAACAAATCCTATAAACCCTGCACACCCCCGTGTAAACCCCCTGTAAACCCTGTAACCCCTGCAAACCGTTTTGACCCTATATTATTATCAACCCTCTAAACCTTACACAAGCGCCACCTCACATAAACCCTAAAAACCCTATATAGACCCATATAAACCCTAAAGTCGCCGTGTCCGAGAGCCTCATCAGCGGGACCTCCTGCATGGCATCCAGCCCGCAAGAGCCGCCTCGGAGCGACTGGCAGAGTTTAGGGTTTAGGCTTTAGGGGTCAGGGTTTAGGGTTTAGGGTTCAGGGCTTTGGGTTTAGGATTTCGGGTTCAGGGTTTAGGGTTCAGGGCTACTTGGAAGTTCATGGGTAGTTAGAAGTGGAGGCATAAGTCGAGTAATCGCTTTTGTAGCTGATGTTTGTCCTATTTAGGGTACTTGTAACCCTACTTGTGACTACCCATGAACCTTCTCAAGAAGGGGTTAGGATTGGGAGGGCTTAGGGTTTAGGGTTTAGGGTTCAGGGTTCAGGGTTCAGGGTTTAGGGGGATCAGGCGATTTAGGGAGTTGGGGGATTCGGGGTTTACGGGGTTTAGGGCATTCAGATTGGGGGTGATTCTGGGGGTTGGCGTGCTAAGGGGCACTGAAGGCTGTCCGGGTTTAGGGTTAGGGTTTAGGGTTTACCCCTAAACTTTGACAGGGGAGGGGAGGGGATCTGTGCCCTGAGCCCTAAAGCCCTCGAAACTCTGGGGGTCCAGGTTTTAGGGTTTAGGGTTTAGGGTTTAGGGTTTAGGGTTTAGGGTTTAGGGTTCAGGATTGCGCAGGGTTTAATGCTCGACTCCGGCACCTCAGGCGTCGAGCGGCAACGGGGGTTACAAGGCTTGGAGATTAGTAGCTTAGGGTGGAAGGTTTAGGGCTTTAGGGCTTTAGGGCTTTAGGGCTTTAGGGCTTTAGGGCTTTAGGGCTTTAGGGCTTTAGGGCTTTAGGGCTTTAGGGCTTTAGGGATTTAGGGATTTAGGGATTTAGGGATTTAGGGATTTAGGGCTGGCTTTAGGGCTTTAGGGCTTTAGGGTTTTAGGGCTTTAGGGTTGAGGGTTTCAGGGTTGAGGGTTTCGGGTTTAGGGCTGACCAAACCTTGCCGCCGAGGCAGGATTCTGTGGGGCAGGTGAGTCTTGGATTTTAGGGATTCGGGCTAAGGCGACCATCCACCTGCGGAACACCTCTCGCGAGACTGTCTGTACGTGCAGGTGTGAGTGTGCCAGTCCGTCCCCCCGTCTCTGTCTGTCTCTGTCTGTCTCTGGCTCTGTCTGTCTGCCTGTCTCTGCCTATCTCTGCATGTCTCTGTCTCTGTGTCTGTCTCTGCCTGTTTCTCTGTCCGTCGCCTGTCGCACAGTCTGTCAGTCTGCCTGCCTGGCATCCTGCCTGCCTACGTGCGTGCGCACGTACCTGCGTGTTGTAAATTTGGGTCAATTCGGGGGACCTTGTGTAAGGAAACCTGCACACAAACGAACAAGTGCCTGCAAGGGGCCCAACATTAAACCAACCGTTTTTTGCGCATTTGGGTTGAGGCCCTTGATTTGAAATCCGTGGCACGGACTTCTTTTTTCCGGCGCGTGCGAAGCAGTCTGACTAACGGGGCTACTCCTCTTTCTTCTGCTTCACATCCTCCGGCAGCGTGAAGAACACTGCCAAGACAACAACCTCGCAACCCAATCGCACATCAACCTCGACCCTGAGTGACGGTTGCAACTCCGAACCCTGATGTGGTCATGATATGATCCCTAAACCCTAAACCCTAAACCCTTAAGGTACCGGGTACACAAAAAAAAGGACCAAGAGGTACCATCATCTAGAGAACTGACCACGTCTGCACCTCAAAAGGCCTTATCTATGGGCTAAAAGCATAAGCATTAGAAGTGAAAGTGAAATACGCTTATTGGAGCTGATTAGACATGTCAAGGAAAAACACGTTTGTACGGGGCACCGGGTCAGCGATTGAATCTTGCTGGTTCTGAGCAGGGAATGAGGGAATGAGGTACCCTGCAGAATCCTTTAGAGGGCATATGGTCACTTCTTTGAATTCTGGTCCCTTTTGGGGCTACTATAGGCCGCTCTTATTTAGGGTGCCCCGAAAGGGACTGTAATTTTGAGAAGTGACCATATACCGGGGGATGGAAGGAATTGGGGTGCAGGATTTACTGCCTTATATAATCTCCCTTAATATGGCCCGTTGCCTTCTTTGAAGGGTTATGGGGTCTTTGGTTAGGGTGTATAAGGGTTCCCCCGAAAAGGGCCCAGCCATCTGAAGGGACCATGTAGCAACCTCAAGACTTGGGACGACGGCTTATTCTCCATTTAGTAGGAGATGTCTTGAACGTGTTAGGTAACGGGGGCTTTCGGGTTTTTTTTGGGAGGGTTTTGGGGCTTAGGGGCTTAGGGGGTGAGGGTTTAGGGGCATAGGGGTTTAGGGATCTAGGGGTTTAGGGGTTTAGGGGTTTATGGGGTTAGGGGGTTTAGGGGGTTTAGGGGGTTTAGGGGGTTGAGGGGTTGCGGGGTTGAGGGGTTGAGGGGTTGAGGGGTTGAGGGGTTGAGGGGTTGAGGATTTAGGGGTTTAGGGGTTTAGGGGTTTAGGGGTTTAGGGGTTTAGGGGTTTAGGGGCTTGAGGGGCTTGAGGGGCTTGAGGGGCTTGAGGGGCTCAGGGTTCAGGGGTTTAAGGGGCTTGAGGGGCTTCAGGGGTTTCGCAAACTTGACTTTCTAGATGACAGACACCCCTACTAAAGCGGGTCTAAGGTCTAATGAGTCTAATATTAAACAAACGCTATTTTATCCCCCAAACCCCCAAACCCAAAACCCCAAAACCTCCAAAACCCCCAACCCGCAAAACCCTAAACCAAAGACCCTAAAGCCGTAAACCCCTACTTGAAGGTTCAAGGGTAGTGAAAAGTAGGGTTACAAGCACCCTACATAAGGTTATCCGACTTCAAACCCTACTTAGAACCACCCGTGAACCTCCAAGTAGGGTTTAGGTTTTTTTTGTTTAGGGTTTCGGGTTTAGGGTTTAGGGGTTTAGGGGTTTAGGGGTTTAGGGGTTTAGGGGTTTAGGGGTTTAGGGGTTTAGGGGTTTAGGGTTTAGGGTTTAGGGTTTAGGGTTTAGGGTTTAGGGTTTAGGGTTTAGGGTTTAGGGTTTAGGGTTTAGGGTAAACGCAGCCCTGAGAGGCCATCGCGGCGGCGCAGGCGGCCATCGACTGAAGGATCGCCCCTTCGCGGTGGGGGAAGCTGCCCTTGGTGCCCAGGGTTTAGGGTTTAGGGTTTAGGGTTTAGGGTGTAGGGTTTAGGGTTTGGGGTTTGGGGTTTAGGGTTTAGGGTTTTAGGGTTTAGGGACTTAGCGTTTAGGGATTTAGCGTTTTAGGGCTTCAGGATTTTCTGGTATTAGGGTTTTAGGGCTTTAGGGGTTTAAGGGTTTAAGGGTTTTAGGGGTTTAGGGTTTTAGGGGTTTAGGGTTTTAGGGTTTTAGGAGGTTTTAGGAGGTTTTAGGAGGGTTTAATGCCGGGATACTTAAGCACGAGCTGAAGTTCTACCTTCTGGCTTAGAACCTGAAACCCTTGTGCATAGACCATCGCCAGCTGCCTTTCTAGGTAAGTTTCCGGTGTGCCCCAACCCTAAACACTAAACCCTAAACCCTAAACCCTAAACCCTAAACCCTAAACCCTAAACCCTAAACCCTAAACCCTAAACCCTAAACCCTAAACCCTAAACCCTAAACCCTAAACCCTAAACCCTAAACCTAACCAACACCATCATCACCCGGAACTCCGTGGACTCATCTCCATCGAAACTGCAAAGCACGCAGCGGTAGAGTTCTTGGGGTGGCGCGTGTGTAGGGTTGTGGGGTGTAGTTGCTGCTAGGGTTCCCTAAACCCTAAAAACCCTAAACCCTAAACCCTAGAAAGTCCCGCAGCCCGGCATCCAAGAGCGTGAATCCCACGAAGATGACGCCGAGTTCAAAGAGGCCCAACAGCCTTGGGGGTTCGGGGCCAGGGTAATGGTTTAGGGTTTAGGGTTTAGGGGTTTGAGAATTTACTATTTGCTGAAGAACCCGGATAATCCCTACATATTACCCTTATAGGGTTCTTCAGCAAACACCTATGCAGAGACTTTGGGTTTAGTTCGTAGCGGACTCCTTTTACTTGCTATCTAGGTTCCGATACTGCGGAGCCGTACCCACGAAGGGCTTGAGGGCTCAAGGCCCATTATATGGGCCTTAATGATGAGAGTGGGGGCGATATTATAGTTTAATGATACAGGACCAAAATAAGGGAATACAATAGTAGCCCAGCGAACAAAAATGATAACAAGGGTACCTCTTTTTGCCGCTTAGCTTATAAAGGGACCCAGAACCCAGAACAAAAAACACCACTGAGATACTTTTGGGATGTTCCCTCTTATACCGATAGGGATTCTAGTAAGGGGGTACTGCAATCTCTCGTAAGGAGCTGTTAGTGTCAGGGGAACATCCCAAGCTGAGACACTAGTCGTAATGATTCCGGCCCCCTCCTAAACCCTAAGCCCGAAACCCTAAACCCTAAACCCTAAACCCTAAACCCCAAACCCTAAACCCTAACCCCTAAGCCCTAAACCCTAAACCCTAAACCCTAAACCATGTCACACGCGGCACCCGGGAGCCGACCTCAAACGAAGCCTCTGGCCAAGCCGCACAAGTGCTAGCTTGGTGGGCTTCAGGATCGACAGCCTTGGGGCTTGGGGTTTAGGGGTTTCGGGGTTTCGGGGTTTAGGGTTTGGGGTTTAGGGTTAGGGTTTAGGGTTTAGGGTTCAGGGCTTCGCTACGGCAAGCCCTCAGAGAGCATCCTTACGCAGAGAGGGTGGCATCCTTGCTGAGAATTTTCGCTATTTTGTGCTGTCAAGGTAGGTTGCAGGTAGGCTGGGGGTTTGGGGCCTCAAGCTTTAGGCCTGGAGGGCGGATAGGACTCAAGGGCTCTTCAGGAGGTTGGGACGGCTTACATGTAGGATTCGAATGCAGGGGCCTCAAATATGCACACACACACACACACATATGCCATATGGAGGTTTACGATATTAGGGGTTGCTTGTCTCAAGGGGTCCCTTATTCTCCCCCCCACATCAGCTTGCCCAATGGACCAGCCATCTGGTGGCAACGATGGTTCGCACAACGAACCCCGGGAAAGTTGCCGTTAGCGACATGGGAGCACACAGAGTTCGAAAG